CTCATCTGCCTCCGGTGTGCTGACCCACAAGGGACGGGGCGTTGGGAGATGGCTAAATCTTTGTAAAGCTTAGGAGGAACACTGCTGACGAGGAGATGACCTACAGGGAACTCCGCATCGGGTGCATTTAAGCTTTGTAAAGTTGATGATTTCAATCTGAGACGAACATTTATGACGTAAAATGATTTGACAACTGTCGCATATTTCTAAGGCGACAGTTGGGTGCGATGCCCATTCCCAGAAAAGGTTGTTGCTGCTACTTATTGTAGGCGGCTGATGGTGATCGAGGCGGCGCGTTTTATGCGAGCGTGAGAGTCACAGCTTGATCTTGGGCGTAGATCAAATTTGGCGTTTCGTATCAACGACTCAGATTTATGATGCGATGGACGGCCTAGATTGATTATTTTTTAATTAACGGTAGAGATCAGTTGGGACGCTCTATAAAAGGTAGACTTGAGCATTTTGGGAGTTTTTCACTTTTGCAAAATCAGAAAATCAATTTCCTCTCAAGATTCTTGCGTTTTTCGACGTTGTGCAATCGTTATCTGGCCACATTTCCAATTTTCGGCGATATCACGTTGAATGTTGATCTTTTTCGGTCGTAGGTCCCTCAATTTCTTGAGTTTCAGTAAGTATTTTCCCCGATTTTTTCACATTTTTCTATTTTGCAATGGCTTTGGATGCTAGTGGGGCTTAGGAGAGGGATTTAGAGGTGGTGAGGGTAGATGAGCCTATTTTGGTGACGACCAGCGAGGTCATCGAGGTGATATTGGGGGAGAAATTTAGAGAAGGCCTGATAGCCCGGTAGATACATTAGAACACTAGGGGGATTCAGATTACCCGTCGAAATCGAAGGAGGCTGGCTTGGGTAGACTTAGGGCTGAATATAGGATACCTGATAGTGTAGAATTGATATTATCGGAGCCTGATGAGAGGGCATGCTATCCGAGGTCAGGGTGCATGGCCGTGAGTGAGGCACTTTTTAGGGCTGGACTAGGCTCCCTCTCCATCCCTTCTTTAGGCTAGTGCTGAGGTCGTATGGGTTAGCTCCAACCCAGCTGAACCCGAACTCCTGGAGCCAAATGGTGGGGTCCTAGATGTTATGGAAGGAGGTGTCGCTCGGGGTGGAGATGCCCTTCTCTATTTTTCAGATCCTATACATCCCTAAGGTAGCAGCTGGGGGACAAGACTAGGGGGTGGCATTATTTGACCTCATGAGGTTCCCATACTCCATTCGTGCTCGATCTGCCAAGCTCCATTAAAGAATGGAAAAGCTTGTGGTGCTGGGCTATCGGGAGATGGGACACAATGGAGGGGGATCCTATGGCGCCTCTTACGGTCCCCACGAAGTATTCCACACTTAGTGAGTACTGTTACCTTGCACTTTTGTTTATTCTTCTTCGCTACGGATCCTAACTACTCCTTGCTTTTTTTAAAGGTACTCTTTCTCAGTGTGAGATATCCACAGATGAATTTGACATAATTTGCATCGTCTACCAGCTATCCCCAAAGAAGAGGTCATATCACGAGCTGATCAGGAATAACATTCATTTCGTAACACACGATCTGATGGCTTCCCATGGTAGATTTTCAAAGTGGACATGTCGCGTGGGTTTTCCGACCTCTTCATGCTTGTAATAATTTGTTTGTTCCCTTGCAGATAACTTCAACAAGAAGAGGCCTCTAAGGCTCGACTTCAAGACAATTCAGAAGATGATGGCCGAGGTGAGGGCCTTGAAGACCTCCTCATCTATGTACAAAAAGCAGATAGAGGATCTGGTTATGCCAGTAAGAGGCTTCAGCCTCCGACGGATGAGGAGGTCGAAGAAGACCCTGAGGCGAATTTGTTGAGGAAGGGCAAGAGGGCTACGGGCTCTTCAAAGGGGGCCACCGTGGTGAGGTCAATCCCAACCTTGAGACAGACAACAATTCCAATCGGGGTGGCCCTTAGGGAAAAGGTTGTTGAGCCCTCCGTGGCTATCCCTACCATCTGCTACCCCGACTGAAGCTCCACTTTCAGTCGCTCTCCTATCTCGAGTGCCAGGGCAGCCGAGGAGAAAAAGGGCTCTCCCCACAAAGGAGGTGGACTTTTTGGACATGAACGCTGAAAATCCTGTCAGAGAAGTGTTGGAGGCTTTACCTCCCGGGACAAAAGTGGTGGCAGTGGAAGGACCACACTGCCTCATGCACTGTCGAAGACCTTGTGGCGGCCAACAGTGCATGCATAGCCAGGGCTCTCAACATAAGTGTTCAGCTGGAGGGCCTGATCAAAAATCTGATGGCCAAAAATATTGACCTAGCCAAGCACCTAGAGGAGGTGATACAGTATGAGGATGTGGTCCGGGCCGCTCGGGAGAAGGTCTCTGAGACGGAGTTGGCAAAGCAGGAGGCGGAGGGCCAGCTGATGAGGGCCAATGTCGATGTTGAAAGGCTGAAGAAGGAGCTGCACGAAACTGAGTGCCAGGTGGCTGCTCTGATGAGGCGAATTGATCACGCTAACGAGCACCACCACCTGGCTACTTCAGCTTTGGAGGCCTCCAACAAGGAAAAGGCTGAGTTAAAGCAACAGGCGGAGGTCCAGATTGAAGAGATTGATTCTTTGAAGGGGGAGCTGAAGTCGACATGGGAGGTGGCTGTGCAAAACTTCATTGATCACTTCGAGGAGCATCCCCTGTATGACGACTTCGCCAACTACTGGGCCTCTTGGAGTGCTCAAGGACTGTTGGGTCGACTGTAGGAGGTCTACCCATCTTTGGACGTATCCTCTTTGAAGGTAGAGTTAGGTGGGCCTACTGGAGGCCGGCCTGACAGGGTTGCCGAGGAAGTTGATCGGTATTAAATGGCACGCCGCAAGCGCACGGGTCACGATCAAGTAGTATAATGGACCTTTTAAGTCCTAGTCGATCCCTCAGAGAGTGTTGTTTTCAATTACGAGTGTATTTGTTTCAAATTAACGAAAAAGATATACACATTTAAAAGTTCGATTTTAAAAACTATAAAAAGGCGAAAACTTGATTTTGATTTAAAATACTTAAATAATACTTAAAAAGTGGAAAAAGTTTGATTTTAAAAGATGTTGGAATTTATGATTTCGCTTAACCCTTTTCAAGCCAATTATGCGTAGATGCAAATTACCAAACTATGTGGCTAGACCCGATTTTCCAAAATTAGTCAATAACCTTTGTCGAGCGATATCAACCCTAATTGCTTGGCATTAACATATTTCTATGTCGTTCTAAACCAAACAACTGCATTCAATTTTTGTGCAAATAACTCAACGGGTCACATAGGGTAAGTATACACGTCTGGATACCGAAACGCGTATAGTCAAAATCATACAAACCTATGGTATTAATTATTTTGGTCTATTATGTCCAACTATTTTTCAATAATTATGCAACTACCTAACCACGTCATCGATTGACGTCAAATAAATGTAGTAATCTTAAACATGATAATTAATACACCAATATTTTGATAACAAATGCAAATCTAAC